ACAGCGCATAATGTGCGAACTATATTCCAGTAGAAGATTCCTTTCACTTTCCGCCGTCAGATTCCAGAAGCCGAGCAGGTGCTGTGATTCTGTCCCTGGTATATGTCGTATATAAATACCTCCCGAACACCAGCTATCGGGCTCCGAAACAGGCTCACCCGTGTGGCCTCCCATGGCGGATATTGTGAGAACTTGCCCTCAATGAATGAACTACCGGTATCCATAGCCCTTTGAAAAGCCCTGTTAGTGAGAAAATTGAAATTGCTTTGAGTCAAGTCCGAGATATTTACTATACCATGCAAGAGTTGACACGCCAAACGAACTCCTCCCCCAAGCTCCCGGAAATCACCAAAGGAGAGGGATGCCTGGTCAACAGCCACTAGCTCCAGGAGCTCCTATCGATTGTAAAAAAAAAAAAAAGAAACCCGGTGGTTGCTCGATAGAGCGGTGTCTTCCCCCCCTCCTATCGAAACTGGAATCCTACCAGTATGTATGATGGGAGATCAGAATTTCCGGCATGATAACCATAATCCCTCCCTTGTCGAAATGCTCCATCACATGGTTCTCCCCCCTGGAAACATCGCGCTTCTACTCCACTTCAGGAGAGAAAGAATACCCCACAACTAAACTACCGCATCGAACGCTTATGCCCTGGTTTGGACTACCCCACCTCCCCCAACAGAGTACAGTGCACATGCATCGTTCACACATCCGACGTCATATAGTGGCCGAATTGTTCCACATAACCACAGTCATCGACGATCACTCATTACCCAATATATACCCATTTTCCCTGCGAACCAGCAAGCCTTTTTTTTCGAACCCCACCTCAGCAGTCTTGGCTATGGTGCCATAAGTATGATGCCATTATTTCACACCACCAAAACCCCCTCTTCCTCCCTCCCGGGCGACCCCCGAAATCAAAACAAGGATACACACGCATCGTACCCACGACGGATCTGCAAAGCACACCCATGTCTAAGGGGAACCCCTCTTTCTACTCGAGCAAGGACTGTGCCCCCAGTGCCGAGGGCAGTTATTAATGGGCCCAGCTTCGCAAAAACGAGTGATATTCTGTGACTACCCTCCGGGTCCTTGATTTATATCAGATTCTACTCGTATGATCAGATTCTATGCTCTTCTAAAATTACGTTGAGGCCTACCACACGGAGGTGTTTTACCGCCTAGATTAGTAAATACCGATTCCCAGTTACAGGCACCATTCGCTTGCGCACCTCCTTGTCTCACTAATCCTCAGAATGCGGTACTACACGATAGCCAACTCCGGCCTCGGGGTCCAGAGGCATGGCGTTTAGGGCTGGAATATGACTCAATGAACCCTCTCTCTAACGTGGGACGAACATCGTCTTATCACCACAAACCTGGCCGGGTAACCATCCCTGTGTATGATATCACACAATCCAGCACTGCTGCCAGTGAACGCAAGAAACACCACAACCCCCCCCCCTTATGATCCCAGCAAACTCCCCCACAAATCCAACCTTAGGAGGCGTCGAAGAGACGCCCCCGTGCGGATAAAAAAAAAGAAACTCCGAAACAAACCACTTGCCAAATTGCCCCGTACGACAGCTTCAAGACCTGAAAGGTTTGGATGGAGAAACCAGCACGATAGGACAATCGACACAAAAATAGGACCCGGCAGGCGTTAAAAGGAGTTCATAATGAACGGTTAGGGTGTGTTCTCGGTAGTATTCGCTCTGCGTTCACCCGAACCCAGGCGTTCATTATAGCCTACCATGAGTCAGCACTTCCACGGCGGTTACCCGAACAGTTATGATACCTGTGTCGTTGCCCCGTCGTGCTGGTCTTTCTATCCAGACATTTACAGTAGCCTTATTCATCCGCAATACTTTTCCTTTTAGAGGGGTAAGTCCGAAACAAGGAAGAATCGGTAGTGCGGCAACAGCATTGAGAGGCTCATATCGACCATTACCCCCACTTAAGAAAGTATACGAGTACGTTTAAACCAGGGTTTGTCCTAGCACCATCGTCACCAGTCAAGATGCGGAACCAACCAATCGCTCCCACGGCGAGCCCGGAATACGGAATGTATTATATCTTGGAGTTATGGGATGATCTGCGGCTGATTTTGACAAGGTTCTTTCTTGGTCATTGCATGCGAGCGGGAGGCGAGCACTACACAAGTACAAGTAGACTACCGGTAGTTTAGCCTTTGTGTGGAAAAATAAGGCATCCCTCTCAAAACCTAGGAAAACCCGGCAAATGGGCCTAAAAGCACAGCGCCAAAGGCATGCCCTCCTTCAAAGGCGTTGGCAGAACGTCGTTCGCCCCTTTCTTTCTTAGATTTCTAGCTATGGTGGCGCCATTAGGAGTGCTTATGAGGGAATTCCAAGTTTGATAGAGCGTGTTGGTTATACTCGTAGTTAGTTCCCTCTTGGATAAATCGGACCTGTGGTGATGCCCGAAGAAAAGGGCCAGCAGAGATTTTCTTTTCTTTTCATACTTGTAATTAAGTACTCGGGTACCTGTTGTAGTATTGCGGACGTAACTCCGGGGACTGGGATTAACCCAAAATCCGTCACATGCTCTAGAAGACAGGCTGGTTTTCAGAATTCGAGTCGCGATGATATTCTCTCCATTTTTACTCCCTTTCCAAACCCTGCTTCTAGCATATATCCTACCAATTCCCCTTTGCTTTAACCAATTCAGTATTTCAACAATGGAGCCAGAATTTCTGGTCATCTCTGCCCTTTCCTTCTTGGTCATCATATCCCGCAACATCTCACCGACATTGTGCAGAGCGAGCTGGTACGGGAGAGGTCCATAATTCGCGTTGTAGTGCAGAAATCGTTCAACTGCTCCCCAAGGTGTTTTCTTAAAACCAGCAAACAAAGCCGGGTTTTCCATTAGGCCACGGGCAGCCATAACTCCTATCGACATTAAGAGTCAGTTGCCTACTAATAGTATAGGGAACCTCCGGTCAAAGTGCACAAATGACCATAAAGTCGGGCCACCATTGCACTCAGCCAAGAAACCCAACATCCAAGCCCCCCAGATTCCCGGGGGGCGCATATGGTAGACATACAGGAACTTACCGTCCACTCCCGTAATCCCCACAATCCTCTCGGCGTCCCCCAAACTGAACACATCCCCATTAGCCACAATTGGCACCCCTGCAAGGCTCTTAACCAGTGCGATGGCTTCCGAATTCACTGGCTCACTACTCCTCTGTGACCGCCTCCTTCCATGAATAGTAATATAGTCGACCCCAGAACTCTCCACCATCTTAACAAAATCCACAGTCTCTCGCAAATCATGATGAACCCTGATTTTAATCGACACGCAAAAGTCCTCACCGCACCGATCCTTTGCTGCACGCACCATTTCCTTCACTAGCTGCGGCTGCTGCATCAACCTACACCCGATACCCTCTTGAATGGCCCATGATTGCGGACAGCCACAGTTCAGGTCCACGCCGTCCGTGTACGGCTTTACCAATTCAGCGGCTCGGGAAAAATCTATAGAGGAGTGGGCCCCGAATTGGGCAATTAAGGGACGGTCTGATGCATTTGTTGTGAAATCTAGTAGAAGCTTTTTAGCAGATGCAATCTCAGTGCGGTGAATATGGGAAAGGGGGGGGTGATGAGTGATAGGGGGTGTGGATAAATTACCGCTAAGTCGAGCTGCCTGATTCCTGACAAATTCTTTCGCGAGAATCTAGGACACTCATCAACTTAGCTCTGGCTCCGAGTATGATACCATATCACACCACCCAGTAAAGCCTTTTTAAACTCACCATAGGGGTATAACATAAATCAACCCCATAATCCCTCACTAGAGCCCGAAAAGGGAGTTTGCTATACCTATTCTTCACTCTCAGCTAGATTTCCCCCTCCTCTCCACCGCCACATTCCATGTAGAACATACCTAACCATCGGAGCTTGCACATACAACACCCTCCCTGCGCTCTTTGCAAGGTCGAACAACTTTAATGGACTATGCAAGCCCCATCAGCCCAAAGCGAGGAACAACAAAAGAAAAAGAAAAAGCCATCAATAGCAAAACGAGTGGGGGAGTGGGGGCAGAAGACAGGGGGGGGGTAATATACTAATGCACCACTTCCCTGGCAGGTATCTCACTCTCTTCATCCATTGTCATTTGGATCGGCTCGGGGGGTTGGTGGCGTTGATGGGAGTCGGTGAATAGCGAGGTGGAAAGAGGGGACGTCAAAAGAGGCTTAAAAAAGCTTGTTTTCGGCTAGAGTTCGCTTAATTTTGGGAACCCGCCTTATCCTATTTCAGTCTAGGGGCCAATCGGGTAACTAAGTGCCAGGATTAGGGGAGAGCGCCTTTTCTCTTTCTAGGTATCATAATATTATCATAACGCATATCACACTATGCTCGAAATTCAACGCGGTTTATGAACACGACTGCTGGGCTATCCTTACAATACGGTACTCAGATCTCGTTGACCGGGATCCGCAACTCTGCTAACCCGTCAAACCAAAACTATCGAGGCCTGGCGGGCCGATCACCGCTGATAATCTCTGATTAGTACTGTAGAAGTCCCTTTCTAACACATGCATTTTGGTACAAACCCTTTGGATACCATATACTCGAGTACTACCAGTACCCCTGGTGGGGGATGACGTACCGAGCCATCTAACAGGTTCCACATAGCAATGCACAGCCAAACCTTTGCAGGGGCTCAAGAGCCTTTCTATTCCCCCTCCCCCCAGACAGTGCAGAAAAATTCGGGAAATTCAGGGAAAATTCACAAATTAATTTAAGCGTACATATAACTTTCCAATTTTATCGCGGAAAGAAGTTATGCAATATTCCCTGTCTTCCTGGCGTACAAAGGCATCCAGAACGTGATGCCTCTGAGTGAGAATTGGCATATTTCCCAGCCAATGGTCGGAGCAGAAATGCATGGCACTGAAAGGGTTCGCCCCAAAAACAAAAAGGAATATGCACAGCACCTTACTAGGAGAGGCAACCACAGCGTCGTATCTACCGTACAGTACTCGAGTATCCTCTATTCGAGTTTTTTACGGCGCTCTAACGGGGAGACTGGATTCATCCGATACATGTCATACACACAAATGCATAGCGTACCCTGCTCGAGTACAGTAACTATATCATCCTGGCATAAGCAATGCACTATACGAATGCTCGGACAGCGCTGTATTTTAACCATATAGTGAACAACCTAACCATGCATACCATAGGCTCGTACTTAGGAAAACGCATGTGCTAGTAAAAGTATGACCTACTTAAATCGTCGTTTATAGTCGTTACCAAGTTCTCCTTATCTATACAAGTAAATCGTAATACTGCAGGCGCCCGCATGGAACAGAGCATGCGGAATTGGGCGGGAATTTTCCTCTGGTCTACGGTACTACAAGTACTGTACACAAGGCACAACACTTCTCACACATTTCTCGGCCAGCCGGACTCACGGAAAATGGATGAGAGGAGGGAAGGAAGAGATAGAGAGAAAGGGAAGGAAGCGAGAAGTTTGTGTTTCGTTTCATAGACCCCTCCCTGCCCCCAGAATCCGTTCCCTGCTTGAAAAAGGGATGAATTATAAATGGTTTCCCGCGCTCGCACGGATGATTTTTCCGTCTGCCGCCCCCTACCCGCCCGCTTCCAGGATTAGAATTATGAGAAGGACAAGAGATGCCATTCTTTTCTTTTTTTGAGTACCGCTACTGTGCCCAGTAAAAATGTTATGATACCCCACCAAACAATATTCCCCTCCCCTCCTTGCCTAAAGTTACCAAAAAACCAAAAGTAAAACTGGGAGAACGTTTCGAAGAGGAACAGAAAAGACGAAGAAAAAGATGAATAAAAAAGGCGGTTAACAAGATAAAACACCAAAAAGCATGAATTAGAAAACCAGTAGATCACCCTGCTTGAAAAGAGAAAAGTAGGAAGCGAACAAAATCTTATATGGAAGGAGTGATGATAGGTAAAACAAAAAAACGCCGGTACTTGCAAACCGATTAGAAAAGCTTTGCAGAGCATGCGAACCAAAATCGAGGAACAAAATCAATTATCGGACCAAAGAGGCAGAATGGTATTTCAGAGAAAAGGAAAAGAAAAGAAACGAGCAATCAACAAACCAACCCATTTTAAGACTTCCCCCAGATTTTGGAAAGGGAATTTCTGCCCGTGACATTATATGTTGCCTCTCGACCCCATCTATCCCCGCGATAATCAAAGCGCCCAATAATGAAAGATAGTGCAATAAAAATAAAAATAAAAAAATATGAATGGTAATGAAAAAACGCCACATCTGGGTAGAGCCCCTTTAGAGCTTGCCTTTAGAGCTTTCTCACCGAATCGACCACCAAACTTGGAGTCTCAATATCTTTATCCGTCTCTTTCCCTTCGTTCCTTCTTCTGTCGAAGAAATTATCGTACTCTACGACCACAACCACCCATTCTGCAAGCGCACGGCCCGCATAGGTCCAATGGCTTGCATTGCCGGTATAATCAGAGAGATCGACACTCATGGGCACGTTGCATTCCGCATCGACATACTTTTGCCCAGCACTGGGTATTCGCGCCGGACCCAGCCTTCTCTCTCTATTTCCAAATGGCGGCCTATCCACCCACTCCAATGCAAATTTAAACGTAGTCTTTTTCTGCTGCCGGGCTGGTTGCTGCTGTGTGGGCGATGATTCGTGCTTAGGGCTTCCTTTCGATGATGAAATGCTGCTAGCCTGCTTCCGAGGCACAGGCAATTCAGGCGAGTCTGGGGGGGATGTATCACCGCCGACAGCAGACTTGAACCCTATTACACTGCGAATTGCACCCCACCTCCTGCTGAATGAAGAAACACCCGTATCAGTTGAGCGCGTTGTGTCTATGGTGTCAGCAGATGGGATTGATTGAGCATCGCTAGTTGCTGTAGATATGCTGGTCAATGACATGGAAGAATTGAACCTGGGCAAGGACTCAGGGTCGGATATCGGAGCAGCTGTTGGTATTACTCCGTCCAATAGAACACCTTGAGGTGTAGTCAGGACATCGCTCCGGATAATGAATAGTCGCCTGCAAGGCTGAGGAAGGCATGGAGCAGTGGACGGAAGTGGTGTTCCGTTCGCTTCTGCTTTGTCCTTTAGTCGCAGATAATGAGCATACGCAGTCCGTAACCGCCTAAGCAAGGTTTCTAGAATGACCCTGTACCATAATTAGATAAATTACCATGCGTTCTTCGGAAGCTAACTCACAGATCCAGCGGATTAGGGTTCCCATCGCATCTGCCCAATCTCCAACAGGCCAACCTCATGAAATATGCTCTAACCATCGGGCACCAATGGCAGAAATATTTTTCCCAAACAGCCTCCGATAATAGCCAGCCCAGACATATCGCCCGCTTTCGCCCCTCCTCCTCCACGATGACATCCCAGGCAGTATAGACAAACGAAATCAACCGCAGTTCAGTCATATTATTCTCACTCTCCAGCATTTGTTTCAAGACATCCATCCAAAACGGCCAATCCACAAAAGTCGTGCTGTAAAGCTTCTCTGCTTGTGAAAATAGAGGCAGTATTTCCTCCAACAAGTCACATAAAGTGAAACAGGCATCGGCATCGTAAACACGTGTCTTCCGAACAGCTCCCCTGATCATGGCCATGAAAGAAGTAATGTACATGATACGACATTCCTCCGAGTAATTGACCTTATCAGAAATAACATCCCGAAGAAGTATCACCATCTTATTTTCTGCCATGGTTCGTGCGGGATTTCTAGCGGTCATGGGAAGAGCGGCTGTGGCATTAGCGAGCATGTCCTCAAAGGTTGTCGATGCCAAATTATCAGCTCCCATTAGTGGAGGTTGGCGATGGATAGTGTTATCAAGCAGTGATAGCATGTGAGCCTGCACCATGACATAGCCAGGAACGGTGAACCTGGCTAGTGGCGATACATCCGCTGGCAGGTAGTCATACATCAAGATGTGGTAGTATTTCAAGAAAACATATAACAAGTCCGAGTCACGACCATTCCATCGGCTAGTCCACGCGCCGTGCCAGTCCACTTGGATGCCAACTGGTGGTTTCACTGGTTGCTTCATACTCCGTAGTGTCGCAGCCAATGTGGTAAACCCAAGCGATTGCAAGGTTTCCGGAAAATCGCTGACAATTGCCTCGGAAACCTGCCGTAAATCTGTGCCTCGCCCCACTCCAAATTCGGGGAGAACCCTTCTCACAGTCGCTGGCTGAATCTCCCACAGACTAATCAACATATCCGCAACGCCAGGACAAAAGTAAAATGCGTAGGCTAGGACCTTGCCACCAAATGCCACCATGCTAGGGGGTGATGTTCGGAGTCCCATCTTCTCTACCGTGAAACCAAGGGTATCGTACAGCGTACGCGTGAATAGAACCTTGATGTTGTGTTGAACTGATTTCTGGAGGGAGTAGGCTGAGGAGGTAGAAGCGAGGGAGGAAGAAGACCGAGATTTTGCTGAAGCCGGAAGTCGTTGATTTACAGGAGCAAATGTCGATGGTGCAGACCTCCATTCGGGTCGAGAAAAAATGCCCGAGATGCCTTCCAGATATACAGGCCTATCGGCACCAGCGATTGCTTGGGAATTTCGAATACGAAGCTGTGCCATGAGGCCGGTCCACCAACGGTGCAAGACTCTAACCCTCCTGTCAAGTTCATCTGGTGCAATGTGGACAGTCGATTTATCTTCGAATTTTCGGAGAAAGGGGATGAGAGACTGCCGAATAATGTTGGCCTTCTGAGCCGTAGACTTGCTTTGGAACCTAATACAATTAGCCATTGGGAACAGCAAGCTTCCAAAGAGTTCGTTGTACCTTTGGAAATCATTCTCCAGCAGCTTGTAGGCCTCCCAGAGCTCGTCCTTGACCTTTCTCAATGCTGGGCGTTCACCCAAGGAACCGACGTTATCAGTAGAACCTACATAAGCTTTCTTTAACGTAGCAGGTGGTATTGAAGGCTCAGATGCTGACGATTTCATAAACATGGTCAATGGCCTTCTTGCCTTACCCAAAAAACTTTGTGATCGGTCAATTCCCGGGCGAGCCGGTTGCGACTCGTTTCTAGACTCCACTGAATCCTCGCCTCCATTAGCTTTCGTGGGGCTAGTCGACGACGATACCGAGCTTGTTGATCTCGAGTCATTCTCATCCCGACTACTTCTGTCATCACGACTGCTGGATGATGGTGACCTAGAAACGCTTGGTGAATTCCATGAATGGCGAGTCAAGCTGATGAGTGTTTCAGAAGCCGGGCGAGTTTTTAAATCCAGAAATGAAGGATTGCCCGCGGATGAAACCGGAGGTTGGTAAGAAGTATCCTCGATAGGATCTGAGGGTTTGAGAAAAGTCGAAATCGTTATTTGAGGCTGCCCTTTTGGGTCCGGACCGCTAACCGGGTTGCCACATTCAAACTTGGCAGAAGGAGCGAGGGAGGGCTTCACAAGTGTTTTTGAAGCGTCACCAGTCTGAACACCTGAATCCCGGGTAATGCTCGCAATCGTTTTCTGGGAAATGAAGGCATTTGACTTCAAGGGATTCGAGAAGAAGTCATCATCATCCAGGGCCGGGGGGGAGTTCCCAGACTGCGAGGCGGGGGCCAAAGAAAGGAGGGGCAGCGAACCCAGCTGCTGCGTGGCTTTCGTTTTTGAGTTCGAATTGGCTGCAGCGGAGGGAGCAGACGCCGGTGGTGAATCTTTTGCCTTAGGGATAGATAGCCGTGGAGCCTGGCTGAAGGGCCGCCGAAAGGAGAAGGAGCGCTGGACTCCTCCACCTGTTCCCGCTGTTGTTGCTGCTGGCATCGTGAAGAAGAGGGGAAGAAGAAAAACTACCGAAACGAGTGGAAGCTGGGGAAACTGGCTCGTCTTTCGACCTTACGACGACCTAATAAACCAAAGAGCCGCAAACAGGTGTAGAAGAGTCGGTCCAGTTACGCTGTGTTAAGTATCACGAGCAACAGCAGTGACACGGTACCAATAATGAATGAAATGTCCTCGACTCTTCCTCTCCTCACTTTGACCTGTGCCCCGTCTGACGACCCTTTCGACCCTTCTTATCCCAAGAAACCAATCTCTAGAAGGGCGGCGTAGAGAGTGACTTTACACGTTCTTCTTATAATCTTGGGGCGAAGGGCGGCGGTACAAGCTGAAATGAGCACCCGGTTGATGCAGGATCCGTAACGGGTAGAGGGAACGGACGACTACTTGCAGAAACAGCAGCACAGTTACCAGCCAGCACCAGCACCCCAAGAGGACGCACCTGGTAGGAGGAATAGCAAACGACGGATGTTGTCCGGCGGATTAGAAGGAATAATAAAATCCTTCTTCTCCTCGAGTTCAGAAAGGAAATAGAGGGGGGAGGTGAAAACGAAAATCAAAAAACCAAGAACGAATGCGCGAAATGAGGAAATCAATGGACAGCAAAAAAAATCGCAGGCCAACTGAAGGGAAGCACTGCTCTCGTAAGGCTTTTTCTATGGAGCCCGTCACTAAAAGTAACACTTTCGCCCGGGACACAGATAACTTTTTCCCTACCCCCTGCCGTCCAAAGATCTCAGTCACATCCCATGTGTGCTGTGCACGTATGCCCGAACAAATGCAGCCCTTTTCTTGCCTTTTTTTTTTTTTTTCTTTCTATTTTCCGCACCAACCCTCTCGAATGTTGGTTGTCTTGACTTCCTTTGGTATGCTTAACTTGTTCTGGATAAGAGGTAGCCTATCGTTCATCCAACTAACCGGCCCGATCACCAACTAGGACGAGAGTTTGTTTTGCTGCTGGCAGCTCTTTTGGACTTGTACCAGAGTACTCGTACGAGACAGGGATGATTTTGCAGGTTAACCTGAATTAACTATTCACTGGTTTCGTCCCTGACACTTGTACGAGTACCTCCACCGAGACATGTAAGTTACTCGAGTACCCGAGAATCCTGCTCGAGAAGACTTTCGCACTGCAGCGCCGGACGAGGGCCAAACTTACCAGACCGGCAGCCGGCACTATTGTCTCCGCGCCAAGAGTGGACACCTCTTTTGGAATAGCCCCCGCGGGCTCGTAAGAAGTATGGGATTGTTGATACTTCTTTCTAAAGGCATGCATAAACCGCCACGGTGTAGAGAGCAATGAATACCACAAACCTTGATAGCAACATTCCCCAACCCCGAGAATGACTCTATCAATCGCTGCATGCTGCTTTGTTTCCTCACTGCCACCAATAAAATTATACTGTGCTGTAGAGTGCTTCATGTAGGTCCAACATGGTTCGACCCCATTCATATTAGGCGAATTTTGCGGCCAGGGAGGAACGCGCCCAACCCCTCGTCGTTGTCATATGTGCGATATGATCGCTCTGACAGGATACCGGTAGACTACTGGCGTCTCGCGCCACTGGCACAATCTTTCAAGCAGCTCGAAGACTACCGGTGCCGGTGCTCGAGTATACCTTTTATGGGTCCGCGGGGGCTATCCCAAAAGAGGTGTCCATTCTTGACGCGGGGATAAGAGTGCTGGGCACTCTACGAGTAGACCGCTCGAGTATCATACCGGTGCTGCCGCGAAGCCTCGGTTCTTTGCATTTTCCAGCTCGATTCTGCACTCGGATTTACGGAAGAAACTTTCGAGAGACGAAATCTAGAGCCCAAGACTTTATCATCCCCCAATCCCTCTTCTGTCTCATGGGTCACACCTCTCTAACCTCCCTACGCCCGTCCCGCGAAGAGACACCCCTTGATTATTTTTCAGCTCCGAGTGACAGTAATTGAGAAAAAAACGGCATAATACGGCACGGTGGAAGGTTCTGAAGCGCTGTCAGTCCCAATACATACATACTACACCACCAGCATTACCATCACCTCATAGAGAAGGAGGAAGAGAATGAGTATTTTCCGGTTCCTGCTTTCCGTCAATTGTAGAGTGTCCTCGTACTCGGGCGTAAGGGTATTTGGGGCCAAGTCACACAAGTCCTCACCCTGCGTGTTGCTCGAGTATGATACCGTAGCGGAAATCGCCACACTCCTTTAGGAAGTGGTCCCGTCTTTTTACCCCGATCAAGAAATGCTCACCAGTTATCACTCGAACTTCCAAATCTGGTTTAATCCACATTATAAATGCCACACACTCTGAAGGAGGTGGGCCCGACTTTTGTCAACCCCCGGGTACTGTACTCGAGTATGTACTAGTACTTGTACAAGTAGATGCTGCACAACAAGCGAAAGCCCCCCGCTTGAAGCGGGATACACTGCACTCAAGTCTACAGCAAGCCACAAATGATACATACTGGTACACACTGCTGTCATTTTTACTTGTGGTGTGTGTATGACAACATCGGGTCACTCAATTAGCAAAAAAGACCACACACCCCAGCAAGACATGCTCACAAACGAAGCCTTCTAAGAGGACGACAGGCCCAGAGCTAGACTACCTATTAAACAAAGTGCATGAACTCCCGGCGCCATCCTCGGGCTATAGAAAATTTCACTTTTCGGTAAAGTCCATTGCCTGATTCCCCCCAACCGGCAAACCATCCACCCGCATTCTAAACTCACATCGACGGTTCTACCCAGCACAGCTACTCGAGTACAGTACTGTGCGAGTGCGGTGGTGCATTTAGAGTACCCGTATAATTGGGGAGGGAGAGAGAGAGAATGGAAAGGAGGTATCTTTTTTCTCTCTCCCTTTCCCCTCGGGAACAAGGACGAATGATGCGCTTGAGCTTCCTAGACTACCGATACTCGTTACATTGGGTAGCTAGCACATTGGGAAAGTTTGGTCTCCTCGGGCAAGTGGATTTGGGACCAATCATACTAGTACTTGTAGGCTAACATTCAATACAGTCAGGTTAACGGGAACTTGAGGCTTATTGACAACAGTTAAAAGGATCCTCCCGTTCCCTCTCCGGTCAGTGCTGGGAGCCTTTGTTTCAAAACGGAGATTAGAACCCTGCACGGGGATACTCAACTTGACTACGGTAGAAAATCGGTCAGGGTAAGCTACGGTACTCGTATTACTTGTCAAAGTCAAAAGTCTGTGGAATGAATCCCCAACCCTAACCTTGGGCCCACACCAATTTGTGTACCGCTCGGACCCATGAGATTTAGATTGTCCACAGACTTTTGACATTGGCCGGTATCCATACCAGTTCTCGAACAGGTGTGAGTACCAGCCACACATTTCGCAAAAAGCGCCCGAGACAACTCACCCGTGGAACAGCCAATGACGAAACGGCTATTGGGTGAGGCTGAAAAGACTCTTTTCCGAAGAGGGTTAAATCTTCGGGCGTGGTGGATTTCCATCCAGCGCTTTTGGACAGGACCCCCATTTGCTCGGCGATTAATCCCCCCCTTCTTTTGTCACGATGACTTTCAACCACAGTCAAGAGTTGTTGGAGGCAGACAGACAGACAGAACCAATCAGCACGTAAAGCGCAAAGGAATCTGCCGTGGACAGAGGTCTCGCAAACAATCGAAAAAGCACAGACAGGCAGGCTTCAGAGGAACCATCAGTTCTTGATGCTTTTCTACTTGAGTAACATACTTTGCGCCATGCAGATGCAGACATCATACCAGTATGGGGGGGATTGAGATATTGAGGATTTTCTCAAAGTTTCTGCTACTTCTCTGCTTTCTACCGTATTCGGCAATGGGGGGGACAATAACCATGACAGATGCAACCATATCTTCAATGCTATATCATATCAACATCAACAACCTCCGACAAGGTCATCGGGGAGGAGAAGCATTGGCATATGATATCAATACTCCCAAATATTCGGATCCAAAGGCGATGAAAAGATACCGGTATATTCCCGGGGGAATGGCAAGGCTGAGTGAAGAAAATAACCTCTGCAGGTACGCGGTGCGGTTCTGTACGAGTACTGGTACAGTCTGCATTTATGTGCTTGCTTTGCGGCTCGAATCATACAGTACGAGTAATTTACTGGTGGTACCGTACTCTAATAGGATGCTGTTGGTACGGATAACAACTGGTAATAATTGCTGGCCTGAGATGAAAATAGATTTCTCTCTCGCCTTTCTTGACTACCGGTACTTGCTGGAAGATCGACTTGGCGCCAAGATTTTCCGATACTTTTGGAATGGCCAAGTACTGCGGTACATCGACTACGATAGGTGACTTGGAGGCCTAGTGGTGCAGGGTACGACCGTCATCAATTATCGGTTGCTGTCTGTCTTGGTACGCGAGGACGGGGGCCACGTTTTTTCTTGGATAGCCGCTTGTACTTGTACACACCAAGGTGCAGCACTTTTACTTCTAGCGCAGACCACGAGACCTGAGGGGGGAGCTGGAATCAATATGCTGTTGCTGGTCTTGCGCCTGCAGCTCAATAACACCTATCTACAGGTAACGTGAAGACCTCGTAGGAATCTTCCTCTTGTATTTTCCACCAGGTCAGAGATATTTGTTGACTTTTCACTCTACCCATTCCGCCCGGCCCCCCCGGGTATGCTTTGTTGTTGGCAGGCGGGAGGGGGGATAAGGCAGAAGGAAGAAAGGAGCACAACAGATCTGATTAGGTATTCTAAACCATTACGCTTGCCTTTTCATTTCACAGCACTCATAAAATTTACTTGGGCAAGGAGCAGGTCTGCTTAGCCTTGATTCAAAGGATCCCTTAGCTATTACGAGTTTGAATATTCCAGCACCGGCCCAACTGTATATTGAATGGGGGAGGAGCGGAAAGGGCTTCTTCACGGTGGGTTTACTCAGTTAAATATAGATACTCTCCCAAAGCATTATCCAGAAATGTTCATTCCGAGATGCTTCTAGATTTTCATCCCACCTCTCTCGTCAAGATTCAAGAACTTCCTCTTGTCGAAAACCAGTCTTCAGGACAGGCACTCTACCGCTCTACGGTACCATGCCCCGACAAAATGGAACGAAGCACAGTCGCAGCTTGCTATAGCAAGAGCCAAGAGTTTAGGTTTTTTCTTTTTGTTGTGCAAGCAGTGAGAACCCATTATCTCCTGCGCCCGCAGACATTAGAAATTTTGTGCAGCCCCCGTCCCTGTCCAAGACAAAGCTGGATGGGGAGATTTTTTCTATAATAACTAGAATTTCACGGATGTGCAGACTTCAGACTACAACTTATTGTAATACCAGCTATGACTACAGCTACCACCGCGTTGATAATCGTGGAGGAATGCTCAGGCAGCCGCAGGCCCTAAACGGCTCTTTAGTCGTCTACGAGTACGCCTTAGAAATTGCCGGGGTAGTCTAGTCTAGGAGATAGCGAGTCATGAATAGGGACCGAAATAGCACGGGATCTAATTTTTGAGGAGTACAGGTACCGTATTTCAAATGCTCAGCCAGATTGTGATCTAAGCGGCTACTTATTTTTGTGACACACGGGAAGAATCAGGAAAGAGTTACCTTGGGAAACATATTCCTTGAGCTCTGGGATATATCATAAGTTACCGGTAGTTTTGATTGCAGGACCCTGCTCGTAATTTTCTGACGTTTGTGGACACGGCCACTACCGGCATTGCATGCTACCAAAACCTTGAGGCTCCGGGTAACTTGTCCATAAGGAACTGCACTCTGTGTTTACATGTCAGAAGATTAGTCTACCTGTGTGAGGTTGAGTGCGAGTTGGAGGATACGGTATGATAGTCCTGTATCCGGTAGGGTGTTTACCCTCATGGAAAACTTTATATGTACTAGTACTTGTATGATATGATAGACAGCTTGGCATACAAATGGTTGCCATAAGCTGCGGCACCTTCTCTTCTTAACATAGAGAAGGTGAGCTTCAGTCAACATGGGTATAGTAAACATTGCCCCTCCACCTCAATTGGGTGCAGCACTATCTCCTTTTGTGCTTTCTGTTCCTCTTTAGTTACATGACATATCTGCAGGCCATTTACACAGAGCTATTGTCAAGCCTATCAGAGAGTCACAGGAGGGAGGATATCACAGGGTACCAGCTTAATCGACACACCATCCGGCAAGGGGAAAGCCGTAAATAATTCCCACACCGGTATGAGTGCATGGGGGCGTTTGGCGCGCCATGATGTGTGATTTAGGATCAAAACTTGGCAATTTTAACTCAGTAAATCTCAAGTATCCAGCTTAAGAAAGGGTCAGGGTGACTGGGGACGCCCTTCCCGCACTGGTAATTGCCTGACGCTTGTACTAGTACGAGTAGAAGGGAGTGTTACAGTACCGTATTGCATGCCCCCAAAATCCCGAGGTTCTGGGCAAGTTTTTGGCTGTATGCAACAGCGGATACCAGCACTCGTACTGGAGCATAGTGGCAGAGGGCCCTGTGGGATCCCTTCGAATTCATTGTAAGGTGTCCGCCGCCATGTTACGGCGGGGGGGGGCATTCGAGCTCACAAGAGACTGGTTTGTAACGGTGATCTTTTCTCCACGGCAGGGAGGTCTGTCATGGCGAGATGCGGCTGTAGGTTGGGCTTGATCTGAAGTGGATGATCGAGTTTGTTTGCAATGCCGAGCATCGCTCGAGAAATATGGACGCTTGGCGATGCGAGTTTTGCTTCCTCTGCTATGGTGGAGCAAGCAAGCAACATGGTGACATTCACTCACCAGCCCGACGTTTCACAGCGTTTCAAGGCAACCCCCCTTTTCGCGGGTTTGCTCGAGCTGCTCATGGTGAATCCTAGCAGATCCTCATACCAGATTGTAATACTTTTTCTTGGCCAATAGTTCAATTTGTTGGTGAGATCACCCACGCGCCGTCTTGGCTGTTCGCTCCGGCCCTGTACGAGTTTCACTTCCCATCACACCTTCCCGCACCCTGAGCTTGCACTCGATGGGGGTTGATGTCGCGATGAACATCTCACACCTCCTGTCTGGGAGTTTATGCGAAATCCATACTTTCCCCAGAGAAGGTCTCCTTTCCTGTAATATAGTACCGGTAACCCTTTATCCCCAATTATTCCTGCGCCTCCTTCGTTCTACGGGCGCTTGTTTGCATCCTTTCACTTTTCTTTGGAGGGAAATTTGGGGGGAAGAGCTTATGGGGATTTCTTTTTCTCCTTTCTACTCGAGTAGAGTGCATAGTTAATTCCACTATCAATCATTGTCCGCTATCCCTATTCTCTGTGCCTTCTCCCACCTTCCTTTCATCCTACCCTCCCTCCCATTCAAACTTCTGCGTGCCTGATGCCAGAGTCAGATAACTCACCTCGGTTTCCACACGAATAGTTTATGCAGCTGGTTCTGATTCCTTCCATTCGACGCTGGGCGGCTATATACTTTATTTTTTCACACTTCTTTTAATCCTTAGAGAAGACAGCGGGTTAATACAGTCACGAGTTCAAAAAGAAAGCCCACAACGCCATTGACAGCGGATAGTTGTGGACCGGGAGAACAGAAGAGGAAGAGTTGGAGTAAGATAGGAAGCACAACCTGAAGAGAGAGAACGCCACCGGACTTCTCCTTGAAAACGCGTGCTGTGGGAAATTGGGGATAGAAGGAAAGAGGAGAACCGGCGTGATAATAAGCATAACAGACAAACAAAAGGGAAGAAAAAACGGGGGAAAGGAAGTGGTAAAGAAACGAGGGAAAAGAAAGAAACAACGAAATCATGGCAGTGAACGATTTTTCAAACGCGGGCCTTTGGGTGTCACCGAATGTTACGGTGGCTGAGGTGAAGGGGATACCAAATTTTTTTTCGAAGTCCATGTTCGGGAATACGCCGGAATTGAAATCGGCGGCGCAGGTTGTTGTGGTAACGGCGCTGGTAGCGGTGATCCTGCGGATATTCTCACGACGGAGGTTGAAGACTAGAGTTTGGTGGGATGATGTTTGTACTATGGCTGCTGTCTTTTTTCTCGTCACGAACCAGACGGTGTTCTCCATGATCGAATTTCTCGGTATGTGGCTTTTTTTTCTTTCCTTTTTTTCCGAGTTCAGAATTTAGATATTGCATGGTGGCTTTCCTTTTCTCTCAATTGAGTGATTGATGATAACTGACCGTGCATCCCAACTGCGGGAATGCAGGGAAGACGAGCTTTTCATTTCTGGGGAAGCAAAGCAAGACTGAGGAGCTGAAGAGGATTCAAAAGATTGTGGTCGGGCTCAAGCTCACGTTGGCCTTTGAGGTCATGTACTTGATCAGTATCTATCTGGTCAAATTTGGCATGTTGTTCCTCTACTGTCGTTTTGCGTGAGTGGCCTGGATCAATGATAAGGAGGGGAGTTGGTTCGGTTGATTCAGGTTTGCTAACGAATCGGTGCCTTGGAATCTAGAAAACACACAAAACATATTACAGTTTACCTTCGGATCACTCAAGTGTTATGTCTGATAGCCTTTGCGGTGTGCATCCTGTCACTTTTCTTGAGCTGCATTCCAATAAGCATGTTCTGGAGCCTATCGAACTCAAATAGTGGGGTTCCCCTCCCCTCTGCCTCTGACCCCGCTCCCGAAGTATAAACACAATAAAAAAAGCAAAGTGGGCTAACCTGGTAGGGTTACCATTTTTCAAGTTCAATGTACTCGGAGGACTCTTTTGACATACGCTTCTGGGATCTCAAACATCGTCACAAATACCCTAGTCCTCGCAGTGCCAGTACCGCTACTATTTAGAGTGAAACTGAGTCTGAGGCAAAAAATTGGTGTATCTGTGCTCTATTTTTTCGGAGGTACCAGATCACTAATGCCCCGTTACCCAGAGACAAACCTTACTAACAACGCCTTCTCAACTCAGCCTTCGTGATAGTAGCTTCAGCCCTTCGATTCGCAACACAACTTCTCAATGTATCTGTTCCACAAGCGATCGGGTGGTCGCAGATTGAGATATCGCTGGCCATAATCTTGGCCTGCGCGCCCATGTCCACCAAGCTGATGTTCATCCCATTGATTGATCCAAAGGACGTTGAGAGGGTCAGCCAAATGGGCGACATTCCGACCTCGGCGAGGCCAAAGAGCTTGATTCGTCCAGCAGCGCTCTCCGAGAAACCAAAACTGTACGAGCCCGTGGGTCCTCAGCAGTTAACTGCCGTGCGCCCCCCTGTACAACAACAGCCGCGGGAACAGCATGAACAGCATGAACAACTAGGGCAACAGCAGCCGCAGAAAAAACTGTACACTGGGGTGGCGGCGCTACCGCCTGTACCTAACAGATCCACCTCGGGCGCGGGGGGGAAAGCAGCGGACAGAATGCAAAAGCGTGTACAGGATGAGAGAACGCTGAGCGTGGAGACCGTGGGAACACTAGATGATCTTAGCAGGGGCAGTCGAGCTCCCCGGGAGATCAGTAGTCCAGATTACCAGAGGCTGAAGGTTGTGCGAGCGGAGGTTAATGGTCAGTCTATATGGGAGGTAAGACTACTACCATCATTATCCACCCTTTCCTTCTCAAAAAATCAAAACTAACACATGATAATCATCACCAACCAGGTCCGCCCGAGATCCAACATATCTACAGTATCAGGTTCCTCATCAGTATACTCCGACATAATTCCTGTATCACCAGGCCCCGTATCGCCAACTTCCCACTCGGGATTGTGAACTACGTTGCACTGCTCGATCCCACGATGTAAATAAATGATCTCCCGCGGTATGATACCTGGTGGAACTCTGCGACTTTCTTTCTTTCTTTCACCCTCCCTCTCCCTCTTTTCGTTACCCTTTTTCCTTATTATCATAAGCTCTGGTGGGTTCGCGTATTTCACATCGCCCCCAAAAAATCACCCCGTGTCCTACTCCTCTAGATGAGGAGGGAAAACCATATCATAGGTTTGCAGCTCTCAGCTGCTACCATATTATATCGTTCATTCCTGTCTTACATTCCAGGAAACCATTTCTCTCCATTGCGCGGGGTTTTAAAAATGTCGTTGACGTTCCCACCCACGATACATACCCACTAGCCAGCTTGCCAGTCAGTTACCTATGGTACCAGATGAAGAGTTGCCCAAGCGAATAAAGCGCGAGAAAGCCATGACTCAATCGTGCTCTTGACCATTCAATTACAGTCGTTGCATCGTGATTCGTGAGCTCGGTCGGTAGCAGCGTATCATAGCTATCCGCATGTCCATAAATCATACCGTGAGTTCCCGGACTATGGTAGCATAGGCGCGGTAGCACCCACCGTACATATCGTTCTAGCGTGGGGGGATAAGTGGTTGGGGATATATACCTGCGTGATAGGGTATGTGACTCCAGGTATCATAGCATAACATTTGAGTCTTTGACGTTCTCTACCTAGGCGTATGGTGATAGTGAAGGGCTGACTGACTGGTATTTCGATTCTTGGAGTGAATTTATCGATCTTGTATCTTTGGAAATATTCAGTATTTGTATGTAGAGTGCCGTACAGTAGTCATGCTTCCGCGATTTGTAGTTTGGTAGACTTGGAGCCAATGGGTATCATAGGTATGATAGGTAAGGCTTCCAGGACTACCATTAAAAGCCCCGCATCTATCAATTTAATAAAAGGGCAAAGTATAGTACAGTACAGTACATCCTGCCTTCGGTTAAACAACTTTTTTGCAGAACAAACAAACGAACATCAAAGTCCGTCCAAGTCAACGTAAGTAGATTTGATAGCACTCAATAACCAACCACCCCCAACCACCCACGAATTCCACCCAAACACCCTTCCTTCCGAACGGAACCTATCACACCCTGCAGAGCCGCAGGGATATGATAATAAGCTTATATATATAATACAATCAAGGAGAACCCATCCCTCCTCCTCCCCTTTTGTTAGTATGGGTTCTTTTTTTTTCTGGCCCAATGGGCCGTGCAAGGATGATAAAGCGGTGGCAGACGGGTGCGAGAAACCCGGGCACAACCAGCCCCGTTGGGCTACTGCGCCGTATGATACTTTGGTATGATATTTATTGTACGAGTAGGGCTGATGATACGTGGAGTTTGTTCGTTTCTTGTCCCTTTGGGAAGGGAGGTATAATAGAGGTGAGGTGAGGATCAAGAAGACTGCTGACATTCTCGGAACGCCGTTTTCGGTTATTCGCGTTTTGGCGCTGTTTCTCATGAGGTTGGTGAAGGGAGGGAGGGATACTGTAGAACATTGCCCTGTCCTGTGCATTCCGAAGGCACGGAAAAAGAATTGGTCAGCGGAAGAGGCACAGCACTCGTACAGTACGGGTATCTTCATGTTCCATTAAGGCGTTGGAGGAGGAGGAGGAACCGGGGCGGGAAGATGTTAGTATTACAATAACGCTGCCAAAAAACTTTCTCGCATAACCATCTCCACTTTCATTTAAGATCCCCCCCCTCCCGTCCTCCTCCCCTTGCACATTATCGGATGAACTATTGTACTGGTACTGGTACAGTACACATGTCGTCCATATCAAGTGATAAAGGGAGAAAGAAAGAAGAAAAAAAAACGACCTGTCTCACTCGAGGGTTTCAAATGTCCTGATCACCCGCGCATAACTTGGGGGAACTATTGTTAGTGGACAAAATTAACCGCGGATAAACAGAGGGAAATTTTCGGTCATCATAACAACACACCACCATGAAACCCATTATCATTAAAACAAAGAAAAAAAATTCAAAAATGCAAGTATGGGATAGAATACATAGTAAAAATTAATATTTGAGCTAGAGAAAGCTCTTTAAGTGGTGTTAAAAGTGTGGGGTGGTGAGGAGGGTTATGCGGCCATCGATTGTTGGTCCGCGGATAATTTTGTCCGCTAACAATACAATAACTTATAAACATGTTGTTGAAATATGCTTCTGGCACTACCGTAGTATCACTCGCACTATTGATTTTCTCCTTGCATTAGTCTTGATCGCCATCTCAAAACCCCCTTACAATATTGGTACTATTGAACATACCTCCTTGCCTTTCTTTTCTTCTCTCTGTTTCTGTTTACTTCCTACTGTTGATTTACTCGCAACTTGTGTCTCGATCTCAACAGTAGATAGTCTGGGTAGTTTGCTCTCTCTACTGAGAAGTCAATTAAGCAATTCATTATTCTTCTCGTCACTCAACCAGTTCCAAAACCATCATTCCGTTCTCACTGTTTCAACACATGTAATACCCTACATGTGATTGATAGAGGGAGATACTGTAGAATCAACCTTAAATTTAGCTGCACTAGTTAGTGCCGTACTATCGTACTATGGCAAGGATCGATGGATGGATGTGTTAGTCTGCATAAAATAGAGGCTTCCATTCCACGATCGTTTTGGAGAAAGAAAAAAAAAAAAAACTACATAGCACGGGTGTATGTATTGTGCGTTGACAAAATTAACCATGATTCAACAATCGGTGGCAACCCACCCCTCTTCATCACCCCGCACTCTCAACAGTACCTAAAAATATTGCTCTAAGTCAACTAAGAAGAAACCATTCTGCTCAATTCTTTTTTTCAATAAACTATGCCTCCTATTCTTCGCAGTCATGCCAAAAAACTTATTCCCTCCACACACCTCTCTGAGCCTACTAGTGGGAGGATTCTTGGGTTACACGAGCCTCAGATGAGATATCAGCAAATTTCCCACTACCTTAATATCCCCTACACTACTGTCAGAGACACAATTGCAAAGGGACATCAAGAGGGCAAGGAGAATAAGGGTAGAGGAAGACATCCTAAAACTACCAAGTCATAGGATGATGCTATGGTGGAGGAAGCTTTTAAAAATCGCCATACTACCTATTCTGACATTGCTGAGCAAGTTGCTCCCAATATTTCTAGTAGGACAGTAAGGAGAAGACTTGAAAAAAACATCGTAGAAAGTGGATGGCATAAGAGAGAGTTCATTTGGATGAGGATCTAGCTCAAGAGAGGTTGGAATGGACATTAGCTCATAGGCATTGGACAAAGAAGATGTGGAGAAGGAAGGCAATATGGAAGGTTGAGGTAGCTGTGGAAAGTAGAGGAGGAAAGAGGAGAAAACGGGTTTTCAGATACCCATATGAGAAATAGAATAAGGATTGTGTTGAACCTAAGACTAGGAGAGGGGAGAGAGGGATTAGCCAGATCATGAGTGGTTGTTTTTATAGTCAAACTCATGGTCTTTTTTTGCCTGTTTTTCCTAATCCTTCTTCTGCTAGGGGTGGAGTTACTGGGAAGTCAATTATTGATGTTTATGATCATTATGACTTTCTAGGGATATGGGAGAATATCAGAGAAAAGGCTGGAGAAGAAGAGGTATTTTTTATCATTAACAATGCTAAGACTCACTTGCCTTTTAGGAGATGGCTCAGAGGGCAGGGAATTACACAGATAGAAATTCCTGCCTATTCACAAGATCTCAATCCAATTGAAAATATTTGGTCTCTGGTGAAAGGTAAGCTTCACAAGCACTACCCTGAGCTATATCTTATGAAGGGTGATGTCAATGTGGTCAAGAAGGCAATAGTGGAGGCCATCACTCATTGTTGGGAACTTCTTGACCCAAAGGTTTTTGATACTTTAGCTGGATCAATGGTGGATAGAATAGAGACAATTATTAAGGCTGATGGATGGTATACCAAATATTAATTTCTACTATGTATTTACATCTTTTAATTTTTTTTTTTTTGGTTTTCATGATAGTGGATTGGTGGGTGAGTATGGTTGTCATCGCCGAAGATTTTCCTCGGTTGAATTGCGGTTAATTTTGTCCACGCACAATATCATAACTGATATACGTTCGAGTTATCATATCTCGGCTACCTATGATATCGTAAAGTACAGTACCATCAACCCAGTCGTTGTGATCACTACCGTCGCCGCAAGACTCAGGACCGAGCAATGCAATAATATTATCATGCAATTCAATAGTTCAATTACTCTTTTTTTCCGACCCTAGCACGAGCCGATCACCAAGGTGATATCATAACTAACTTAGCAATAACCCTCTAATGACCTTACCTATGATACCTACCTACCTACCATGTTGGAATCTCCGAGTCGAGTGATACAGGGCAAAAAAAAAGACCAGACAAACCTTAAGTATAATAAGCAAGCAAGCAAACGCCCAACAATCGACGTCCCATCAAGTCATAAATCGGTAGTACGGTAATTTATAAGTGCCTTACAAAGCAAAGCATTTTGAAGTAAAAGTGCTCCGAAGGGAAAAGAAAAAAAAACAGTATGGGGCATTCAAACATTCCTTATCAAACATCATCATAATAATCGGTGGATACGGCGGCGGTTCCGCCTCCACCACCCACCCCTCCCCCACCTCACCCGCGTTTCGCTTACTGCCGTTTCCCGTAGCTGGGGGGGGGGGAACACGAAGAACGCAATTGGAAGGTGGAAGTAAGCGTTGTACGAGTACGAGTACTCTACCGTTGTGATACAGTACCTTGAACAAACGAAGGTGAAGGGCTCTCTCCCTCCGTCATACGTGTGGTACTGTGCATTTAGTTGTTTTGTGCGTGGCGCGATCAAGAACTTGCACGCACACGCACTCACACACGGCGGCTCTGTGGGGTGCTACAGTAACATGTACTATGCATTCACCGCGTCTCCCTCGTCAGACGAGTGAGAAGTGGTGATTTGGTGTTGTACGGTTGATGAGTGTTTGAGGGGTTATGTTCTGCTCTGGTATCACACATACGGTAGGTGGCATAGGTACTTGGTTTTTGAGGACCACATGCGGGAAGTGGAGGAGGGAGGAGTTGAATTTCTCCCCCTCCTTCATCAGGGATTATTGGGACCACGCCGAGCAGACACACTACAGGCACTCAAGTATGTATGCGTGATATAGTGCAACTTAATGCAATATAATGGGGTACAATACAGATACTCATATTTTAGTAATAATAACAGTAATTACAGGTAGTGGCGGCAGTAGCCACCTTACCGGAACAAAAGCTAACCTTGCAAATTCGGATTTGTATTTCAAAGGGGTGTGGTGCGGATGATTTGAAGTTCGAGAAGTGAACAAGCGTGACAGGAGAAAGAAAATAATTTCGAAGGAATAGCTAGGTACGGTAAACGTATATATGAATAAATAAATATAGAATGAATGAATCGACGAAAGGGGGTTGGGAATAAATGAAATGAAATTAATAACACATCAACCGTGGGGAAAGACATATCCGGAAGGACGGGGTTGGGTTGGTTGAAAAATGCAAGGGTGTAACGGCGTTCAACGTTCCAGCATTAATGAAAAGGGGCAGATGAGATGGGTGAGTTACTGTTGTGCCTCTGGTGCATCCTACCTTCATCTGTGAAAGAGAGAGAGAGGTAAAGGAAAGTGAGGAATAAAATAAAAAAACAGGAAAACCCCAATATATAAGGAGGAAAACAAGCTTGGTTTTTTGAAGATAAATTGAGCGAGGTAATTTAAGAGAAAAATAACGCAACTCCGATGCAAATAGGAGACAAAAAGAGCCAAGGGGAAAAACGCCAACAATGATAAATAGATAGTTACAGAAGACGGACCCCACCCTATCCTTACTTAATACAGCCCGCCATCGAATAGAAAATAGAATATACAAGAAGCGAAAAGGTAGGTATCAAAGGAAGAATAGAAAAATGTAACGAAAGAAACCGGGAAAAAGAGAGAAAAAAGGGGGGGAATAAGATACGACTTTATTCATCCCCGCTGCCAGTGACTCTAGAAACCCACAAGTGCGTAGGCCCCTCGGTACCCATTTTCTTATCTCTTCGTCTCCAGGCTCTATGCAGCTTCATTCCCATTTCGTGAAGGTCCTTCTCGACGTCCGCGAGGTCCTGAACGAGCTGGTCTCTTCTGGCCTGCATTTCTCGTCTGGCAACAGGGTTGTGAGTGCTGGGGTTCGGCGGGAGGACTTGCTCGAGGTCGTAAATCTCGCGGCGGAGCGCGGCGCGACGCATAGTAAGTTGGTCCTGCTCGAATTCGAGCTGCGAGAGATGATCCTTAGGTTCCTGAGGTTCGTCCTTGGGAACAGACGCGGGACGTTGTATCGGATGAATTTCATGCGGGGGAAGCGGGGCCGAGACAGCACGGATTGAGTCTGAGCGGGGCGCGGGAAGGTATTGCGCGGGAATAGAGGGCACGGCAGGAGAATCGTTAAGTGACATCTCGGTGGGAGGAGCAAGAGGCGCAAAGGTGGATTGACGGAGGTGAAGTTTGATGGGGTCGTTGTATCTGGGAACTTGAGTAGCAACGGTGGAAACGGTGTTTGACCGTCGATGAAGCCCCTCACGCTCACGACTGTCCAACCAATCATCGATCGAAACAAAATTCGGTGGTTTCACCGCAGCAATTGGGATCGGCGATTCCGCTCCGAAATCCGAATCATGTCTTTTGCGACTGGCCACCTTCCCCTTGACAACGTTTCCCAACCCAAATCCTCGGCCACGGGGCTGAACATGCGAAGAAGATGAAGATGAAAAATCTATGGTAGCGGCTTTATCCAAACCAGATGCAATGAATGTGTCCGATGAGTGTGTCGAATGTGTCGAATGTGTCGGATTGGCACCGCTAAAACTCGATGGCGCTGGTTTGCGCGTAATATTAAGTTTTCGCGGAGGGGCGTTCATAGTGTGATTAGGGATATTGAGTTGCTTATTAGAACCCGGCCCGACAGTACGGTTTGAATTTGAAGAGCCAGGCGGAGAAGGATATTGGAGGGTGTTGATCCTAAGCGGCGGAGGAGGAGCAAGATCATCGTCATAAAGGCTTTGGTGGCTACCAGCATTTCTATATCCAAAGAACCCAGGGTTAGTTTCAGAATAATGGGAAAGTATGCAATGAGCATCCTCAAAAACAATAGCACCACAAATGATAAGACCGCACCTTGTTACAATCACATACAGTAATTTATATACCGGGCAGCAGTTGGGAGAGATATAAAGTAAATCGGGAACTTACAACGATAAAACCGGTTTTTCTGATGGTCCTTTAAAAGCCGACTCGTTAGAGTTCCTGAGAGCGCTGCTGCCGCCCAAATATTGTGGGAAGCCAACAATCTGCGAGCTCGGCAAACCGGTCAAGGTTTGGTTGGTGCTCTCTATAAGAACAGGATATCCGATAGCCGGTTCCTTTGGCCGTGTGTAAATGGGTAAACGATTAAACATCGTTGTGAGACTGATAGTCATCGTCATAGAGAAAAAAAGTTCACAAAAATTAGCCCTCTTGAACCCCTTATATCTAATCGCTCTTCAGTTGCCCCTGGACGATCCCCCTCTCTCTTTCAGGTATTTACTCCCTCCACGTTTTCTGACTCGATCTAGGCGGTGGCGGAGGATATTTACAGCCGCTGTGTTGATGCTAGCTGCCTGCTTTACTACCGCCCGTCGACGTCTGCTGTGTGCGGATGACACAAAGCGGAGGCAGAGGCGAGGGGCAACGCAGGGGAAATCTTGAAAACTTCGTAGGAAGGACAGGAATAGAGTCGAAAATAGTAGACGCAGATTTGGATGCGACCCGAATTGACAAAAAGAACGTCGAGAAAGGGTTTAAAGGGAAGGACTGATGAGGAGATTGCGCAGAGGCAAGGAAATACTTTCTCCCTCTTTCACAAATAAAAACAAGAAATCCCAAGAGAAAGAGAGAGTGGTGGTCGTCCGCAACCAGAAGAAGCCTTCCCCCACAAAAAATCACGAATACGGGGAAGGGAACAATGGTAAAGGGGAAAAAACAGATGGGGGGACGGCTTACACAAGCTATGATTATATCTCTCAAGAGAATGATCGGCTACGGTGGGGTCTTCCCGCCTTCGTCTCCCTTTTGAGGACGCCTAGAAATGAAGAAAAGCTGCCCAAAGAGAGGCTCACTGGGCAAACCTTGGGTCCTAAAACGGTGTACGAGTAATGTGAATCGCCAAACGCACCGATAACCGCTTAGCTTGAGCAGGTAAATAAAATGATGGCGAAGGGGTTGCGACACCAGCGGAATTTTCCTGTCTCGGTATGAATTTAGCTCTGGGCAAAAGCACAGCAAAACACCTCGAGCGCAGAGCAGTCGGTGTAAAGTATTCTAACGTCGGTGCGCAATGGAAGCCCAATTTCCCTTTCAACCCCTAAGGGAAGGCACTCGGGTGCTACAATTGAAGCGTTCGGGGTGTGTTCCGGAAGGTATTGGTAGGAAGTTCGTAAATGAGCGTTCGCCGTTGATGAATTCTTGAGGCAAGGAAAAAGAAAGAAAGAAAAAGCCACTAGCCCCTTTGGACACCGGTATGTGCAGTGCGTGTGTCTAACTTTAACCCTCTATCGCGGCGCTCGTGATAGACTAGGACCAGCAATGCTCGGGAATGCGTTTGTTTCCTGCTGATAGTGTTCCACGGACAATCAGAGGATTTTTTTGTTTTTCTATCGATAGCAGCGTCTTTGCCCTGCCCTTTCAACAAAACCTTCACTTGTTCTTAAGGTTACCTGCCTCAAGGCATACATAGTACGCGCCCCTGTAAGAATGGGGAAGCGGTGCTATATATAGCAGCACCAAAGTCAAAAAAGCCGTTGCCAAAGAGGTCTGCTAGGAAGAGAATCAGTGCCGTATGATATGCAGATAGTGAGGGAGCAAATTCCTGGTCTATGTGCCTGTGGCCGGCATGTACGGTACAGCACAAAGAAGGGGAAGGGAAGGAAGGTGGTGGACCAAGAAATCTGGATCTGGAAGCGCGCGGATGGATAGAAGGGGATTTCGGAAGTGAGAAATGGAGGGGGTATGAAAAAAAAGAAAAGGTGTGTGGGCCTCGGCTTCCCTTTGACAGTGAAGAAGAAGAAGATGAGAGAACGCCAGCGGGGTCAGGTGCTTTGCTTTTTGTTTTTAGATTCGATCTGTATGCATCATCGACCATGCTAAAGCAATACCGGTACCGGTAGGTTGAGAGTGAGAAGGAGAGCGGAGACAGAGGCTGAGCCCATCGAAATGCATTTACGCCTATGATATAGTACCAGATATAGTACCATGCTCCCGAAAGTGCTTCCCTCCGCTGACTGCGACCGTGAATTCTATGTTACCGGTATCCTATACCCCGTTAAATCGCGAGCTAGGATTGAAGTAAGAATTCATGAAATCGGCACCGGGGGGGGAAGCTGTTACTCCCCCCAGTAACGGTATCACACGTCCGGCGCCTGCGCATATAGCAAAGCTAAGCTGTGATACCGGGCATCCACAGGGATAGTTACCATAACGATAATTATTATCATAAATATTATTACTTGTACGGTATTGTATTGTTGTTTTTCTTATGTAGGCACAATCCCCAGGTTCTTCTAATCAACCTTTTGCCAAGCCGGTATTTTTCCATCCCTTCCAAGTAAGATGGAGTTCAAAGTATGATACTCGTAGGCACCATTCCAAAGTATCATAGTCCAACAGTGCCTGCGAGTTACCGGTATGTACTAGTACTGTGCTCGTACTGTGTGTCATGGAGAAAGACGTCAAAAACAGATGGACAAGCACCAAAGGGCCCAGAGCCCTTCGTTTCGTCTGGTACCGGTATACCAACTGCCCACTTTCATAATGGTAACCAATACCGTACTTGAAGCCCAACAATCCTCTCCCCGTAAACGCCTTTGACCAACCTACGGCACTGTAACCAATATTTTTACCCCACCATACTAGCACTGTACCTGTACGAGTACGTGTATGGTTACCCATTGAGCCTCACCCTTGAAGGTTAGAACCCCCTACGACTAATATGCGATAGAACCGCTCCGCGCGAGCCACTCCTCTCCAAACGCCATTCTAATCAAACGGTACCGGCACAGTACCGGTAAGCAAACAGTATCATGTCGTGTCATAAGAGGCACCGGTAGGGTATCAAACCTGGTTCCGCTCCCCCTTGGAATGCCGCAAGTATGATAGCCTATCATTAAGCGACTTATTCTCGATATCTTGTCACCGGTACCGAGGCACCGCCACCGCTGCCTGCTGCTGGTGTGTGGATAGTTATGTCTCCTTTTCTTACACCACGGTACCCTTGGTCGCCTCTCTCAATGCTATGATATTCAGCGGCGGTTAGTACTGTACTTGTAAGTTTCTTCGCAGAAAGGCAAAAGAAAGGTGAAAACAGTTCAGGCGAACCCGGCACGGTAGACTTCTTTATCGCTCATATGACTGCCAGAAGGGATGGTGCCTCGAGACGCCTCAAAGGGGTATGACAGCTTGTGCTGTACCATACAGGTACCCGGGGGTACCGGTACCGGTATTTGGGTCTGCTGAAGCGATTCTCATCGGCTGGGCTATGCTAATGATGTCACTCAAGGCGAAAGTCCCAACAGACCCTTTTTCCTTCGCCCGATACAGTATGATATTCTGTGTTGCACACACACGCCTCATACTTGTGGTTTCGAGAGACTTGAGCACATATGATACCGTACCCTAAATAGCACAGCACCAATACTGGTATCGGTACTCGAGCGGAGTTGCTGTCTGAAAGAGCCCCCTTTTTGCCGCAGGCAACCACTCGTATGTACAGTACCATACTTGGCAATATATAGCGGTATATGATACAAAGTGAGAACCATATCCACATAGCAATCAACTCAACGACAATAAGTGATTAAAGCAAAAAAAAGTCAGCAAGGAGACCCACAAACAGAACTAAAAAAGGGGGGGAAAATTCCATGATTGAAATATTTCGTCCGCGATAAGAAAAATATAAAGAAAGCCATGAAAGTCAGAAAAGTCAGAAAAACAAAAAAAAGATACCACCATTTTTATAGCATGCCAACCAAAACATGCCTTACCGGTATTACAAAGAAAAGAAAAAGAAAAATGTTGTACCGGTATCATACTTGAAGTTACAAAAGTGAGATGCCGAACACGCCCAAGATATAACGTAGACTTTGTTGGAAGGAAGGAAGGAATATTATCCCTAACCCGCGGAACAGTACTCGTACACGTACAAGTATCTACTCCGGCCGGGGGGGGGGGTGGCAGCCAGCATCCTTGCCGTAAGGCTGCTGTGGGCTTCGATACTCGTGGAGGTGCCACCAACATTAAATTTTAGAAACCCTCGATCGAACGAGTATCATGTCAGTACCGTGGTCTATGATACTCCGAGTCGAGTACTGTACAGGAACTTTCCGGCCACCCACACCGCCGCTACCGTACTGATCTTTGTGAACAGATCCGCAACGAAATTTGATACATGGGGAAGGCACGCCTAATTATGCATTTCACTTTCTGGTCGGTCCCATCCGAACTTGGGTCCTGTATGATATCCCGCCGGTTAACTTGGAGCCCAATAATTTGCGGTTGTGGGAAATATGCTTGACGACATCTCGTATCGTACCAAAGCGAGTTGGTCCCTCCCTCTCTCTCCTTTATGGCGCGGCTATTGAAAAACACCCGAGGGGATCAGACCCCCCCCTTTACTCCTATTACCGGGTAACTTATAGTTTGAGTTGTTGTGCTTGCGGCTCTGCTCACGTTTTCTCTTTTTTCTTTCTTTTTTTATTTTTTTTATTTGTTATGAAACGTTGTTGCAGCATGCTCAATTGAGCCCTCAGCGAGGCGCGGCAAAACTCGTAGAGCAGGGCAATATGGGGTTTCGTTGACGCCAAGACGTGCCAAATTTTGCCGCGACTCGATACTGTACTTAGGGGGTGAGCATAAGTGAGGCGAACTCGGGGCTCATTGGCTGTTGGTTGTATGGGAAGTAGCAAAAACTGCAAGTCTGATTGGCTATATACCATGGCCAAGCCACAAAATTGGAGATGGAAAAAAGTGAGGCGAACTCTGGATAATATGTATTGAGAAAAGAAAAAAATGGATAATATAATATTCTAATAGGGAGTGGCTTCCCCATTTACAGCAATAACAGCAGCAAGCCTTTGTGGCATACTCTGAATGTGTTTAAGAAGGCGTTCAGTGCAGATATTCCTCCAAGCAACTTTTATCATCAAAATCAAAGTCAGTGTATCCTCTGCACGCTCATGTATTTGTCCCAGTTCAGTCTCAATTTCTGCCTATAAGGCTTCTATTAGATTTAGATCTGGGGACTGGGGTGGCCATAGAACACAATCCATATCCCATTCTTCCTGAACAGCAATTGCTGAACCCTTGTGCACTGGAGTATTATCATCCACAATCTGAGTCCACCTATATTCCTCACATGTCTGAGTTTGGAAAGGTAGGAGAAGAGGAAGAAGAATATTTTGGGCATATTTTTTAGAATTTAATGTTGTACCGGGGGGTATGACATATAGTTATGACTTTATCAAGCTGCAAAAAGCCCCCCATACCATCACCAACTGATGACCTGATTTCCATACCTGGTCTATACAATCTGGATGGTATTCTTCATCAGCTTTTCTGAATACCCATGGCCGATGACTAAATCCAGCAGTCGAGAAGCTAGATTCGTCAGTCCAGACTGTTCACATCCAATCTTCTTCTGTCCAATGTAGTCTTTCCTGACACCATTAAACCCGGAGTGGTTTGTTTTTAGCCTGAATACTCCATCTGCTCCATAGTAGTAGTTAGTTAACCTATACTTACCTCTAGTTACAAACACCTTAGCTACTTGTTTCTCTGTGCTAAGTTTGGCTACCTTATTTGGAATAGCTCCTGTGAAACCATAAAAAGTATAATCTTGCTAGTGGTCTATTAAAAGTATATATGTTTCCCCTGTGGAGAACCAAGACTATCACCACATACCACTATTTTTTGTGACTATCATAGTATTTCAAATAGCTTAAAAACTATAGGAAGTCTCCATAGTTTAGGACAAATTATTGGGAACTTACTTTCTTCTGGGAAGTCGTTTATGATAACCTAATGATGCAAGTGTATCATGAATTGTTCGAACAGAACATTGGTATCCCATTTCCGCAATTACTTCCTCCAACTGCAAGTATCGAGTCTGAGCATCCTGGATGATAAAAGCAATCAAACATTGCTTCTCTTCCTCAGTGAAGATAACAGGTCGTCCTATTCTATACCAGTTCGAGGGGGAGCCATAGAGCATAGCTCGCTGATAGATTTTCTGGCATGTCCGAAAGTCTATATTTACCTTCTCTGTAATAACCTAAAGTATCTGAGTCCTATTAGCTTACTACTCGTATCTGACAATAAGTATCTGAAAATTCACTTAGTATTATAAAACCACTCTATCTGTA